TATTTGGTGTATAGGGAACATAAGTGGAACTGCAATATATTTGGCAGCTAAAGCATTTGAAATATCTGGGTCCAACATATAGACCGCAAGTCTGCTTTCTATTCTCTTGCATTCAAATTTTTCGCATGTGAACTTAACTGGGTCCCAAGCATCTCCAGCAGCATTGAAATAATAGTTTACTTCAGTGTGAGGTTTGAGAACCAAAGTCTAAGTCAACCTTGCCTTGCAAAATTCGGCGAATGACGTTTTATTTGTTCCCATTACGTCTGTAAGAGTGAATGGGTCTGTGTTGGTGGCAATGACTAAGTTATTTTTCTTGGAGTAAGTTCAATAAAATTTTTCCTGCCCAGTTTGGCAAGTATCTTAAAAACCTGAAGATGAGGAAAGATGACAAAGGAACTCTAAGTTTCAGTTTACTTTGGTTACTGCTGCTGCAGTTTGTCCAGAAAGGTTAACATAAACTCCTGGAACGTTAGGGTCAAGTCTTCTTATTTTCTCAATAGTTGCATACTGGTCTGTTTGTTCTCTAGCTTGTGGTTTGTACTGAGTTTCTCAAAGCGAACCATTCATAGTTTGCCCATGTTACTGTTTGAAACAGTCAGAGTTAGAATATATCTTATATCCATGAAAACTTCTGGAGCATATTGGTATCCGACATAGAAATTCCATTGCAACCTTTCTTGTCAGACAACTTGCAGAAGGTTTTATTTCAATGTCTTGTTCCACGTATAAGAATGAGTTGTCAATAGAAATAATATGAAACCTGTCGCAAGCAATATCTACTGTTGTTGAAGAACCTTCTCCAAACTCACCTACGTTTCCATAAGAAACAGCAGTTGTATATTCGTAAGTTCCAGAACTATTTCTGACCTTCTAATGGCATTGTCGCATTCGTTATACCATTCGGAAACATTTCCGTTCATGGCATCCAAAACTGTTGCGTTATATTCTGAGGCGCGTACATTTCATATGGGTAAAAAATTAGAATAGTTGGATTTATATTATCATAATAGAACCCACTCGTACCAAGCTTTACTTTCTTCCTGACTGAGTTTTTAACTCTTCTTTTTTCCTTCATTGCCACTACTTTCACTAGATGAAGTTACTTCTTCACTATTTTCACTTTGTTCTACTCTTCTTCTTTGGTGTCGCTTTTGGTAACTTGCCTCTGCTTCAAGTTGTTGCATCTTTGCCTCATGTTCACCTAGTATGTTGTAAATTTCCCATGTCCTTTTTGCCTTTGGGCTCTGGTCGCCCATCTCAGGTAACCTATATCCTAGAAAGATTTTGTCAAGTTTGTATTTGAGTCTTCGCGTATTGTTTGCATGACTCTTTCCTGAGTTTCCGGTTCAAGCTCTTCAAATATAGCTTGTCCATATGGAATAAGCTCGTTTCCAAATATATGTTTTTGTAGCCATTCTGGTTTTCTTTCCATGTTACCAATAATATCTTTTGTGAATGGGAAAGCTTTTACCCAATGTTTCAGTCTTGCGTCATTTATTTCTGTAGTTGGTTTTATTTTGTCAAGGAACATGTTTTTCAATACTAACATTTCATTTGGTACTGTCCATTTGAGTTTTCTTAAATATTCATCCTTCTCGGTTCATTGTCTGCAAAGTAAGTTTTTATGACATTTGCAAACTTTCGTTTGCAAGGTCATGTACAATAGGTTCTCTTCCTTCTATCTCCCTAACTTTCTTTCTAAACTCTTCACCAAATATACCATCTCTATGGGTCTGTGTAGTTCTTTGAGATAAATGTTCTAGAACGTCAGGTGTTATATTTCCATCAGCCATGTTCATTTCATACTGTCCAAAATATCTGCATGTTTCATATCTTTCAATGGCATTAAAGCCGCGCTGAAAATACCAGCTATATCTGGTTCACCATTCACTTCCATTGCGTCTACAACTTCTTGGAATTGAGGTTGTAAGTTTATGAACCACCTATCCGGATTAGCTTTATGACCCATCTCATTGTAGTTCCATAGTCTGCAGAAACAAAAGTAGGTTTGTTTCCATATTGGTTAGGTTCTGAATGAACTTTAAACAATGTTTCATTTCTATATGTTTTGTTGAAATTTAACCTTTTATTTTCACCGAGTTCAGCCAAAGATTGAACGTTATATGGTCGTAAGTAAAAAGGATTGTTGTATTTGCGTACATTTTCTTTCAGTACTTCCATTCTATGCTGAATATTTTCATCTGATGTTGGAGTCTTTTGTATGTCGGCGAACATTTTTCGATATTCTTCTACTATGTCAGCCGAATTTTTCTTAGACTCTTGGAAAGATTCCATATTCTCCGCATACTCTTGTTGAGGGTCAAGATTTTTCGGCTGTTCCAAATCTTCATCTAGTTCTGTGAAGTTAGTTTCCAAAGGAGGACTTGTTTGTTTCCTTCAGGCTCTTCTAGCTGTTGTTGCTGAACTATTTCTTCCATGTCTGGTTGTATCTGAACTTCTTCCTGTGGAGTTTCTTGTACCTCATCTGCTGGCATTTCATATATTCCGAGACCGTTTTAACAAGTTCCCTATTAAGCCATCCGCATTCATAACCCTTTCTTCTTTCGTTCCGTCTCTATTTTTTACGCGTTTCATGAAGATAGTTGAATTATCATTTATCTCGACACCAAATATCTTGGAGTAAATTCAGTCATGGCATTTGGATGATATGCTATTAAATCATATCCTTAGCGAGCTTGTATTTTCCAGGTTTGAAATTATATCCCATTTGGTGCTGAACCATAAAGCTAAATAGGTTCGGGTCAGTATTTCCTTCCTTGAACTTTCTAATAGCTTCTTTATATCTGTCACTAAAGTCAAGAGTACTGGGTAACCATAATTTTCCTTAAGCATTTTTAAGAATTCTTGGTTTCCTTGTTCTCTACTTCTTTTATGTCCTTGCTCTGTTTGTGGTTGTGGTGCTGGATTTTAACTGTTGGTTGTGGTGCAGTGTTTGAACTGTTGGTTGTGGTGCAGTGTTTTGAACTGTTGGTTGTTGTGTTGGTTGTTGTGTTGGTTTGTGTGCATGCCTGTGTCTGTGTCCATGTGACGATGTAAATGTTTTAGGTAGTCCTGGTGCAGGTGCTTCTCTTGGAGGGTTTGGTGGTATATAAGTTCCACCAGCTGGCACATATGTTCCATCTGCAGCATAATGTCCTACCGACTTTTCGTCTTAAGAAAGCATTTACTAGGTCTGTTTTGGTCTGTTGTAACTCTTTTTCTTGACTTTCCACAACAGTTGCTCTAACGGCGTCATAGGCACTTTGAACTGCCTGTCTCGTTGCTGCATCTGTTATTTTCGTCATATTTTGTGCTACTTCTCTTAACTCGTTGTCGAAACCTTCAGACTTCAGTTTCTTTCCAGATGAGAAGTCGTTCACTAGTTTCACCTTACTATGAAGAGCTTCGAAGGCGTTCTTAAAGTCAGCATTCATTAAAGCTTCATTTGAACTGTCTTCATCCGCTTGTATTTTGTCCTTATTGACCCTATAAGTTGGGCTGCTTTTGGCGTTGGCTTGGGCATCTAACCAGTCATTATTAGCTTTTATATATTCTGCGCTTTTCATTGCCTTTTGCATGGCTGCGTCGTTATTTTTACTTTCTTGTGCTAAGTTTTCATACTGTACGGTTTGGTTTTGCAACTGTAAAAGTTTTTCTGCCTTTACATTTGCTTCAACTTCTTTTTATACTCATCGCTATCCATATATGTCTTCAGGGCTTTTTGTTTTATTTCTTCATCTTTCAGTACTTTATATGAGTAGTATGTTTTTCAAATTTATTACATCTTGTTCCATTTTTGCTACTTCTGCTGCTTTTTCTGACACTTTTTTCGCATATTCCTCTGTACTTAGTTCTTTCAGTTGTTCTTCTTTCTTTCTTTTCTCTACGTTTAACTCATTGAGTTTCTTGTGGTGTCTGTCATATTCTAGTTTCTTTCGTTTTCACTTATTTGTTCTGTATGTCTATGTTTGACTTTTTGACATCTTTATTTGATTTTTGAGTGAACTCAAATTCATTTGACTTTGAGGGTATAAAGCTTTCCGTCTGCAGCTCCACCATAGCCTGCCATTTTCGCTAAAAGTGCCGCTCTTAAACCTCCACTCTGTGCACCAATAACTCGGTTTAAAAGCATAGGGTTGCTGACATTTGTTGCAACATAGTGGGGTCATTCAGCATTTGTTGTTGCAACTGTTGTTGTGGTGTTAGTTTTACTATTGGATGTTTCAATGCTCTCTTCCTCTTATGTATATTCTTACGTAGCTTACGTGGCATTTTAAGTGAAGTAAAAAACGGTTTTTGACAGATGTTTATATGACACTATTTGTTCAGCACAAAAAACTACTCGGTCAACGTGTTGTCAGTTTTGTAAAATAACCGTCCTATCTCCGTGCCTATGACGAAGAAATCATGACAAATTCAAGAGGGTAGAAAAGAGGTGAGAAAACAGGTGAGATCTCACCTCTTCACCTAAATTATATTTTTGGGTCCTTTACACTCATTACGAAGAAGAAGTCTTGACAAAACATTTACGATGAAATCATGAAAATTCAAGAGGGTGAGAAAACAGGTGAAAAAACGGGTGAGATCTCACCTCTTCACCTAAACATTATTTTTGGGTCCTTTACACTCATTACGATGAAGTCTTGACAAAACATTTACGTTCATGTTTGACAAAACATTTACGAAGAAGTCTTGACAAAACATTTACGAAGAAGTCTTGACAAAACATGTACGTTCATGTTTGACAAAACATGAAAACATATATAATTTGTGAAAAGTGACACATTATATATAATGTTTTCGACCCAGAAGACTAACAATTTTCCGAATAAAAAACTTCATTTATAATAATCATCTTCAGGGCTAGAAGGCACGAAGTGCCTGGAGGCCCCACTACCTTTTTTTTTTTTTTTTTTTTTTTTTATTGTTGAAAACGTTGATAGATAGTGTTAAAAATAAAGATTTTAAAAATTCAAAATAAAAGGTCAATAAAAAATTTATTTCTGTTTTTCTATTTCGCTTGCAAAGAATTTTGCAGCTTCAGCATAGTTCATCTCGGAAGCACCTACTATATTCACTTTGATCCTTGATTCCATTCCATAATTGTCAAGTCTTGCGTTTAACCTTACTTTCAAATTTCTGAAGAAAAGTGGCATGGTGAACTTCATCGTTTCCTCATCTTTCACATCGGCGAGTTCGTCATGTAGTTCGTTGACTTTTTTACCGAAAATCAAGTCTCCGACCTGGTCATTACCTATAACACTTGCGTACAAAGATCCAGAGAAATCAGATATCTTCGTATTGAACATCCAGCGCCATCTTGGAGTTTTTGGTTGCTGGCATTTCTCACAGAAGTATGTTCCATCTTCATTAGGCGTCAAACCTTTGTTTTTACAGTCTTCATTTGGACAAGCAGCATAACAGAACTTTTTGTTAGAACTAAGCTCTGCAAGAGTAACATATGCCATGAAATAGTCACCCTTTTCATTCTGTCCTAATCCTTGCTCATCAATTGCAGAAAGATGCAAAGTTTGAGAATTTCCGCCCATTCCTACATCGCCATTAGATAAGGACTTCATTTCTCCTAGTGTAAATTGTCCTGTTTGATTCCACCAGGCTCTAATTGCATTAGTTTCAGGAATTGCCGGTTCAACTTGAAGATTTCCGTCAAACATGGTCAAAGACTTACCTCTGAACGGGGAAATTCTACATGGTCCAGCAGCAAGTACGTAATTTGGCTCTTCTGGGAGTTTATTCGCTAAATATCCGAAAAATGTTAATTCTATCTTTGAATTTGTATCATCTGCTATTTCCAATCTTCTCTTTAGCATCGTATTACCTTTCTTTGAAGTAAAAGTTACGGCTTGGTCGCTTGTTGTGACCCATCCGATTATATCTACTGTAGTATTGTCTGGTCTTTCAGCCAACTGGTCTAATTTGACGAAATTAAAGGATAGTGTCGAAATAGATCCATCATCTTGGTCATCTTCTATAGATGTTGCATCATCAAATGAAATTTCGTAATCGTTGCCTGTATTGTTGTATTCCTTGTTCGCAACCTTTACGCGGCCTCCTGACACCTTGTAGACATTGTTCAGCTTCAATTTAGGCTGCCACCTGTCAACATTTTCGTTGAAAAAAGTGCCACGAATTGAGGTTCCGCTATCGTCTTTCATTGTAATGTTCATTAATTTTCCTTCGCCGTTTCTATATGTCCTAGGATCTGATATTGAGACGATTCTGACTCGAATCATCCATCCTGGATGAGTATATTGACAAAGTGCAGATATTGGGATGATTATACGGTTCTGAGACTGCCTGATAGCATGTTGTTGAGGTAATTGGCGTTGTTGCTGGTATTGGTATTGGTTTTGGTGCTGATTCTGATTTTGTTGCTGATATGATTGCTGATGGTACTGATTTTGGTTCGGTTGTTGGTACTGTGGGGGTGGAGGAGGCTGCTGGTACTGAGGAGGAGGCGGTGGCTGTTGATATGAAGGAGGTTGCGGAGGAGGAGCGTATGAAGGCGGTGGAGGTGGTGGAACATACGCTGGTGGTGGTGGAGCATGTGATAGATTGTCATTTGGCTGATTCTGTGGAGGTGGAGCACCTGAAAATTGATTTGAACTTGCTGCTGAAGAGCTTTCATCAACTTTTATGGACTGTGGACGTCCAAGAATAGAGTTACAGTCATTGCTAACGACTTCTGTGTCTAAAATGACAATTGATTGACGATATCCATTATTAACGACGTATTTTTTGAGTTTAATTAGAGAAAATTTCTTTAATTCGCCACTATTGTAGAGATCACGCTTTTGTGTTGCCAAAATTCCTGAATAATAATGAACTTTATCATTTAATGCGAGTTTTAACTGTCCACTATGAGTAACTTTGCACTCAATGACTTGAACAATCTGATCGCATGGCTTAACAGAGTTGTTAACGATGCCAATAAGGCAATCCTCTGTTACACTCATTTATAAAAATTGAGATAACCAAAAAATTCAATATTCCTCGGGAATTTCCTCACTTGAGAAAAATTTCTTCCACTCAGAAAAATGAAGTCAAATTCATATTTGAAAAATTACCTTGTAATAAGCTAAAGGAATAATCTATTAAACGATTAAAAATAGCAAAATTACAATAATTTTATTAGTTGTTTCATGAATTCATGACATATATTCCTAAATATATCTTGATTACAAGAAAATAATATGTTCCGTATAGTTGGAATTGTCTATTTTCATATATAATTTTTAAAATTTTTTCATATAACATTGTTCCTACTTTTAAATCTGTGGTTTTTATCAGAACGGTTTTTCATTTGAAATTTCAATATTTAAATAAAGAATTAGAAAAAAAAATTACATAACAAAACAATATTTATGAGCAAAAAAACAGATAATATAACCATATATTCATTTTTTCATCATATCCATTGTAGCAATCCTAAATGATTGGCAAGAATACTGGAAACTATTTGGATAATCTTGATGAGTGCAGAAAACTTCAATCATTTTAAGTAAATAGCAACTATAAGTATACTGGTACATATAAAGAATGGATTCAAGGGCGTCAATGACATTATCAGCAGAAATAAAAGTACAAATCTGAAGTCCTTGAGCTTTTCTCTCTTTATTGATAATTGTGCCAATAATGTTAAGAACCTTTGTCATGTGGAAGCCTATATCAATCGGATTCGTTTCAAAAGTGATATCAACAAGAATTTTTTGAATTTGTTCTAATTCTGGTTGAACGGCTTCTGAAAATGTATGATCTCTATCAAAAACTAGTTTACAATCAGTACTTTTTGGGTCTCCGAAAAATCTCGGATAAATCGTATCAAAAGATGTTCTGTAGACTGCAAAGTATATGATTGGGAAGAAATCCATGTTTAAACCTGTCTGTGAAAGGATATTTTCAGTAATACTCGTAATATTTTCTAATAATTTAATTTCGCTTTCATCATTGAATTTATAGTACTTTGAGATGTAAGCGCATAGTCTTTGTGACTCATCATTGTTGGGGTACCAACACGTATCCTGATCACTGACGCTATTTAATGATTCAACGATGGCTGCGATATCTTTTGCATCTGATTGGGGAACTGCTGGTAATTTTGTTGAAATTATGTGTGTCTTCATGGATCTGATCTTATTTCGTGTGATTGATGTAGAATCTGCGATAATTCTGCCGATTGGGACGTTTAATAAACTAATTTTTGGAATAATTTTGATTTCCGTGCCACAATTAAGATATGTAGTACATATTCCTATAATCTCTGTTAGCATTTCGATTCTATTTTCTATTGCTCTTGCAAAATCTTTATTGAAAGTACGTTCAAGTTCATTTAACTGCTTGCACATGAATATTCTATCAGGAGGTAAAGGTATATTTGGAGTTTCTGAAATTTTAATTTGTTTACCTACCAACTTTTGGCATGGGCGAATTAATTTTTTGGCATATTCCTTCATTTGAACAAATAGCTTACGTATTGTGGCTTGATTAAGTCTAAAAAAGTTATCGGTAAAATATTCTCTCAACTCTGGTACCAAAGTGTCGATATCAGGAGTTGGAAACATTAAAAAATAATGATATGACAGATTAACCTCTTGCAGAAAAAGAGTCTTTAGAACACTAAATCACATATGTCAAGCAATCAGAGTTTGAAAATAAGGTATTACTTTTAATATAACTCAAGTTTTTCATTATTTTTCAATGTAATTGATGAATTATACTTCTTATCTGATACTCTTTCATAGAGATAGATGCATTGCTTAAGTTACATATGATAAATCCTATTTTTTCTTCAAAATTATCTGGTTCCATTCATTTTAAACCTCTATAATATAATTCGCAAAAATACAATTTATTAGATGTTTTAAAGCATGTTTTCGCAATAAAATACGCTGGCATAATTCAATGAAAATTAAGGTTATTTTATACCCTATTTTATCTTCACAAAATTGAGAGGGCAAAATTTTGCATCCGATAACATTCAAAATATTACAGGATGTAAAGGAATGACTCCATTAAAGTTCAGAACTCCTTGTATCGCATTCTAAAGTAAAGTGATGAGCCTTACCGAATGGAAAATACAAGAATACTTGATTTTATATTTCCAATAATAATTTCAACTTATCTAACATACGAAATCTGATTTGCAACTTTATAACAAGCTTGCAATGTGACATATAGCTCGATATCAAGACAATTAACTTTACTGCTATATTTACTGTAACTTTAAGGCTCACTAAGAAACAATGTATGATAATGTGATAGAGATAGATGATTACCTATAGGTAAACTCTCAAATCAAGTGAAATTGATTATATGAATAAGTAAAATTTGCTTTAAATATCATTGATAAGAGAATTACAGCTCATATGAGATTACTCCATCATGTATTATGATTGATAAAAGTTCATTAGAAATATATTTTGAGAAAAAAAAATAAATAAAATATAAGTTAAAAATATTATAATATTTATTCAGCACTTAAATAGAGATTTTTGAGAGTAATCGCATAAAGAGATCCTTCTTCATCCCAATTTGCCTTAGATTTGAGGACATTTCCTGATGCACTGCAAGAAATAGTATCATTTTCCCTATCAATAGTGATCTTGCATGCAACTGGTCCACCAAGTGTTCCGTATTTTGTAAATCTGATATCTGTTGGAAGACAAAGGCCATAATTGCCCCATTGTTCAGGAACTGTGACAGTTACCAATGGTTTGGTCATGACTGTTGTAAATAAATCATGTAATTCGTAAGATGGCTGTTGATCTGTGAAAAAGAATCGAATTTCGGATCCAAAATCGACTTTAAGACGGTTAAAAACGCGATTATCAGCAATAGAACTTGTTGAAGCCAATGCCATCTTAACATTCTTCCACCAATAAAGTGGATAATACTTTAATTTAAATAAGAAGCCAAAACTGTTGAGTTTTTCAGTAATTTGGTTTGTGGTATCAATGAAGAACTGTTCGGATGCGAAGAAATGTGTAATATATGCTTGATTGTACTCATTTCCGAAGAAAATAACTGCACGCTGAGAAATTGCGACCGTTGCAGCAAGTCTGAGTAAATTGCTACCAAGAGGAAGCTCCAAAGCGATTCTTGAATCGCGGCTAATTGATAATCTCTTTGCCCAAGTTGGAAGAGCGGCGCAGAGCTGTTCTTGAGTCAATTTAACAGTTGGATTATGTCCAAAAATGTATCTGTAGTCACCTCCTTCTTTGTATTTAAATGCTTGAAGAGAATTGATATCTGAAAACACTGGAATATCATTTTTGTTAAATGTTGCCAGGACTTTTGATATTTCTGATTGAGGGACAATGATGGCTGCACAGTTAACTTCTTCCGCAGTCTTCATAAACTCTTCTTCTGTTTGATATCCAGGACCAGAAGCAAGAACTGGGGTGTTGCAGTATAAGCATGCGAGGTATAATACAAATGTCGTTCTGTTTAATGATGAATAGATGCCTAAAGGATTAGAACTGTTGAAATTTGATAAAAATGGCTGAATTTCATTGATTTCGTTGAAAATTTGTTCATAAGATGTGTATTTGAGAGTCTTTTTATGATTTATTTCGGCAATGAATGGCAATGACTTCTCAAATTGCCAATTATTTTTGAAAATTTCCTCAAAAGTTGAATGATTTTCTTCTTCTGCAAGCTGAGGATCAGCACGTGAATATTTGTTCTCAGGATCGACTGTAGAGTACTGATATCCACGTGGAGTTTGAGAATATCCGGCGAACATATTTTTTAGAACAAAAAAATTATCAAAGGGGGAAATCTCCCCATTTTTGACAATGATTTGACAAATCATCCAAATAATAATAGCGAATCATAACGAAACTAATTTCTTCAATGAATATGATATGTAATGAGATGTGGATCATTACTTTAAATTCCGATTCCTCAAACGAGTTATTTTGCTAAAATACGAAGAAATTATTTTAAAAAAAGTGACAGAATCTTCCTATAAAATTAATTATTATTAATTATTGTAACTAACAATTTTTATAATCGAATCGCAAATTGAAGCATTATTCAATTTTATTCAATGGATTATCACAAATGTACTCATATTTTTCCAAAGATTCACATCATAGATGGGTAATTTGTGTTGTTGTTATTATCAATATTTTTGCTGTCAAAGTTTTTGAATTTAATTCAAAATATTTTTCATTGAAAAAAAGATACAAATAAATATCACATCAATTTCCATTGTAACTATTTCAGATGTTTACAACATTCAAACGTTTTGAGTTCAAATTTTGATAATCCGATTTTCGAGGCATGATTAACAAATAAGCACTGTTTCTTACTACGTTCGTGGGTCAACACTATTTATCTCTGGTTCTGGGAGTGTCACTAAAGCAGATGTTCTTGCTGCTTGTGATATCAAACTTATTACGAGCATTGTTACAGAAGATGATGGTCCTACATCATTTGAATCAAGCGCTTTTGAGGGCGTTACAAACCTTGCGGATATTACAATATCGAACTCTATCAACTTCATACGACCGTCAGCATTCATCTCAGATTACATGCTTGCGACAATATATCTCAGCGAAGATAATCCATACTTTGCTATTGATGATTATGGAGCACTATATTCAAAAGATATGTCAACTCTTTATAAAGTTCCACCACAAAATTCAGAATACATTATTCCGAGAACAGTCACTACCATCATTGAATATGCATTATTTGGTATGCAACATCTAAGTGCACTAAATATCCCGAATACTGTTACATCTATCGGAACAAGACTGATTATGTACTCAAAAATTCCATTGATAACAAACGAAAAAGGTATAAATCTCACACAATTAAGTTTTCTAGGGTATTCTCAGATTAAAAACTTTACAGTACCCAAATCTGTTCAAGTTCTAAAAGATTCGTGTTTTTGGAGGTGCTACAACATGCTTAGTATCGATTTTGAGGAAGGTTCTGAGTTAGAAATTATCGAAAGTAGCGCTTTCGGATACTGCAATTTTCAGCAAATCATAATTCCTGCTCCTTGTAAAGAAATACGAAAGAGTGCATTTAATTACCAACAAAAATTGAAAAATATATCATTGCCAGCTACTATTCAAAAACTTTATCCTGATACTTTCCTCAATTGCCAAAATATCCAATACATTTCTCTAGATGATCAATGTGAAAATTATTCTTTGATCGATAATGTTATCCTTCAATCTGCTGATGGACTTCAAACAATATACATTGTTTCAACAATTACATCTATAACGATTACTGCTTCAATGAAGACCATTGGAAACTCTGTTCTTCAAGGATGTGATAATTTAACAACAATCACCGTTGATCCAAATAACAAATACTTTTCAGCATCAAACGGAATCTTATATGATTTGAAGAAGACTAAATCCATTGCTGCTGTTGGTGGAATTGTCAAGGCAGTTGTTGCTGATAGTGTTACAATGATAGGTCCATCATGTTTTGCAGGTTGCCAAAAGATGCCAAGTATTACTCTCGGAAGTAAAGTTGTTTCAATAGAATTCCAAGCATTTACTAATGCTAAGAAGATTACAACAATCACATTTCCAGCAACACTCAAATACATCAGAGGATCTGCATTTTATTATGCAACAATATTAAGAACGGTTAGATTCCTAGGCGATTCATTAGAAACAATAGGAACATTAGCTTTTCAAGGAACAAGGCTCAGTTCCATTACATTCGGAAGTAATTTAAAATTAATTGAACACGATTCATTCAACGGTATACCATTAACTAGTCTTACATTTCATCCGGATTGCCCCATGCAAAAAATAAGATATAATACATCCTATCAGACTAAATTGACAAAAGTTTCGATTCCAAGAGCTGTCAAAGTTATTGAATATTATGCATTTTATAATATCAAATCACTTGTTACTATCGAATTCCAAGGTCCTGCCAATATAACAGAGATTCAACGCAATGTTTTTTCTAATGCAAATATCACAACACTATCTCTTCTTAATACTTTAACATCACTATCTAATTTGGCATTTTTTGGATGCACATATCTTGAAACACTTATTTTTGAGGAAGGAATGATGTTGGATTCACTTGGTCAATCATGTTTCAGAGAGTGTTTGAATTTAGTAAGAGTACAACTTCCTTCTTCAATAAGTGATTTGTCTCCAACAACATTCATTGGCTGTACAAAACTACAATCGATTGATATTCCAAGTGACAATGCGAACTATTCATCAGAACAAGGAATTGTTTACTCAAAGTCAGGAGATCGTCTTATCATTTGTCCAGCAGGATTAAGTTCTGCGACGATCAAGAAAACGATATTAGTCATTGGATCTAATGCATTCTATGGTTGCAGTCTTCTCGAAACGATCACATTCGAACCAGGATGTCGTCTTGAAACTATGGAAGAAGGGACATTCGGTGGCTGCACAGCACTCGTTCGTGTTGATCTTCCGACATCATTACAAGTCGTCTAACGAGGTTCTTTCGAAGGATGTGCGAATCTTCAAGTCATCACATTCCCAGACAACTGTGCTGTCAATCTCGATGCAGATTCTATATTTGCAGGATGCATTTCATTGACAACAGTTTCATTTGGCAAATTCTGTGCTTTAACAATCATTGGTGAGCATGAATTCAGTTGCTGCTACAACTTGTCTACAATCACAATCCCTGCAAACTGCACAACGATTGGTGCATATGCATTCGAAAACTGCACATCTTTGAGCACGATCACATATGAATTGAACTCACGCATTTCAGCATTCGGTGAAGGAGCATTTTCAGGGTGTGTTTCATTGAATGACTACTACGTCCCAGATGTTTTCGTCAACATCACATCAGAGTGTTTCGGATCAGCACCTAACATCAGTCGTGTTTTCATTGAAGACAACTTACAAATCCACAAGATCGGCAGCCATGCATTTTCCACATTCCCACTTCGCGAATTAATCATTGGTTCAGGAACAACTGTTGAAGTCATTGAGAGTTCTGCATTCGAAGGTCGATCGATTTCATCAATAACATTAAACAAACTTGTGAAGATCGAAGACAAAGCATTCAAGAATTGTCTATCTCTATCTGATATTTCAATATTAGATATTTCAACAATCGGAAACAATGCATTCGAAGGTTGTGTCAGTATCACAGCATTCACAGTTCCATCACACTGCACATCTCTCGGAAACAATGTCTTTAGTGGATGCAAATCTTTAACTAATATTAATTTTCAATCAACTGCTCTTCAAACAATCGGAAATTATGCATTCAGTGTTTGTGCTGCACTAAGGACAATAACAATTCCATCGACTGTCACATCGATTGGAAACAATTGTTTCATGAATGACTTGTTATTAACAACTGTAACATTCGCTTCTTCTCCAAAATTGATATCTCTTGGCAATGCAGCATTCTCTGGTTGTTCAAGTCTTCCTTCTTTCTCTTTCCCTGACTTAATATCTGTCCATGTAACTAATTCTTATAATTATACCACATTTTGTGGTGTTGAAGTCTTCCGAGCAAGAGGTTCTGAATGTGATCTCGTTTTTGCTACAGGATATGTTGATGCTCAAGCATTTAGGAAGAATGCCATAGGCATATTAGGCAATACACTTGTATTACATGTCATTATTAATATGTAACACTAAAAATATGTTTTTATTAATTGTTTTTAATTTCGAAATGTTTTTTATATAAAATCTAATGTATGATTTCATTCACTTACGAGAAAAGTAGTTCAACATTAGTATAAATTAATGAATTTGCCCGAAACCATATCCGATTCCATTTCAATATTAATTATTTTCTTTTGTAAATAGCTGTAGTTCTAAAATTTGCTTATAAATCATATCTAGTATTTTAATAAATATTTGATATTTTCAGGGATAAAAGCAGACCTTGATAATTAAGCCAAGATCACAATTTGTAGCTTTCAAACTCTAAGCTAATTAGCTCAAAGTTTTCAAAAATAAGTTAATAAAAATTTGATCAAAGAAATTTCGGAACAATCATTTTTATAGAAAAGGATTGACTCGTAATAAATAGAGAATCAAATATATGCAATTATTTCGAATCAGTAGCCATGTTTTTCTCAGCTTCTTTAACCCAAAAGCTATTAAGCTGTTTCTTGTATGTATCTAAATCTATTGAAACTCTTTCCTTGGACTCCTTTGGTTTTCCGGCAGCAAATCTAAGCATTCTCTCAGCATATTCAATATTAAAATCTTCTCCGAGACTTTGCATGAAGCATTGTAAATCTTCTGGTGAAATTAATCCATCACCATCAATATCAATTGTATTAAATGCTTGCTTAACCATTTCTTCTTCGTTTTCTTGATGGGTATGACTTTTAAGAATTTGCATCAATTGATCAAAGTTAATTTCTGTTGCCGTTGGACCTGCCACTAATGACATCATTTCTCTAACTTCTTCAATTGTGCATCTAAGACCTACAGATTTCAAAATAGCTGTAATTTCTTCAACACCAAGAAGTCCTGTTTTATTATAATCAAACTCACTGAAGAAATCTTTCATTTCAGCAGTAAGCTCCTTCCATTGATCATCGTCAACACTCATCTAAAATAAAAAATATGACTTTTTGACATTTTCAACTGAAATTTATATTGTAAAGTGGCAAAAATGATCTAACTATAAATGAGTTGTCTATAATTATATAAGTATAATCCAATTTTTTTAATGCTTCTATTTCCACAATTGTTTTAAAAGCAAATTCATTATGATTTAATAATGCAATAAATAAAATAGCTATAAAATATATGATCATTTGATCATCATTTTATAAGTCAAATCGATTATGGATTTGAATTTCGAAAATTACCAAATTTGATTTTGTTTTTCATTAAAAGTAGAATTTAATTACCGTTATAAGATTTGTTTAGTAGAAAATATAACTGATTTCCTTAGAAACTGAATTGTTTTTTATCAATATTATTGAGTTTTACCCCTTACTTAGCCTGGGCAGCACGAGCCTTGACGAAGAGGGATGGGAAGCGGGCCATAACAGCGATTGGAGCCCAGATGTGGTCCTTGTGGAGGTACTCACCGAGCTTGTGGCAGTGGTGTTCGTAGCCAGCGCCGATGCCGAACATTGGTGGATGGACGTATTCTCCGACCTCGATCCAGTTCTTGTTGTCGAGTGAGAATCTGGCATCCTTCTTCTTGATTGGATAGCCGACACCATCTGTAGAGAAGATCCAACGCTCAACACGTGGTTCCTTGCGTAAGTGGTCGTTGTCGAGTGGTTCGTTGTCTGGGATGTGTGGTGTGACGCATCTCTTGTAAGCCTCATAAGCGGACTGGACGACTGGGTCTGTCATTGGTGTAACCCAACCCATGTAGTCCTGTGGGTTGTCAGCCTTGACGCCTGTCCATGACTCGTGGTCGTAGAATGGGATGGAGATGTTGACCTTGCAGCCAGCCTTGCGAGCTTCAGCGACGGCCTTAAGGGATTCGATTTCCTTGATGGCGCCCTCTGAGTTCTCACCAGCTGTCATGCGGCGGTCGAAGCGGAAGACGAAGCGAGCTGGGACAGCGCAGTCAGATGGTGTATCGAGCTGGCACCATGATGTTGTACGTGTGCCCTTGCCAAGGAATGGATGTGGAAGGAAGCCATTGCGCTCTTGCTCTTCAGCTTCGGCAATGATCTTGGAGCCCCACTCGAGTGGGTTGATGCCTTGTGTTGGCATGGAGCCGTGGCAGGACTGGCCAACAACTTCGACCTGGACCTGGCAACGACCACGCTGGCCGATGTAGATGCCGCATGGGCCCTTGCCTGGAGCAAGATCGCCTGTGCCTTCTGTAAGGATGACGCAATCTGGGACCTGGTGTGGAGCAAGGTCCTGCTTGCGGATGATGTGCATTGGAGCGCCACCATCGTTGTCTTCTTCAGCGACTGTGCCGACGGAGATGATGACGGAGCCCTTGAGAGAGCCGAGGTGCTTTGTCTCGAGGAGGATCTTTGTAGCAAAGACCTGGGAGACAACACCTTGGAGCTGATCGGCTGTGCCACGGCCGAAGAGGAGGCGATCCCACATTTCCTTTGGTGGGATGTGGCGGAGTTCGGCCTTGAGGGCTTCCTCGGAGACCTTATCCTTATCTGTTAAGCCATTGTAGCAGTCGATGCCCTCACCGAGGCGCTTGTGCCATTCTTCACGAAGTGGGTAAACTGTGTCAGTATGGCCATCCATGTAGATGCACTTGCGCTGGTCAAGTGGGATCTCGTCACTGTCGTCTGTAACTGTCCAAACGATGGAGCCGAATGGGTCGATCTTGACATCTTCAGCCTTTGTAACGGCGCCGAGCTCGAAAATACGCTTCTTGAGGTATTCAAGACGTGGGCCTTCGTGGTTGGATGTGCCGCAGAATGGATCCTGATCGTAGTGATCGGCTGGAATGCGAACGATCTCGCGAAGAAGCTCAATAGCATCTGGAGCATACTTCTGAGCAAGCTCGTAGATCTTCTGGTCAAGTTCTGTTAAATTGTCGCACTTTGGCCATTGGACTTTGGCAAAGTTGAACTGGTCTTCAACTGACATCAAAAAAAAGTGAAATGTCACTTGAATTCTAAAAAATTGATAGACTTCATCGTTTTGATTTCTGATATGAAAACGATGATCCCCTTCACAATTCTCGTGATCTTTGATGGTTTGAAAAGAGCGATAGCTTATTATCTAAATTAATACTGTTGTATTTTTTACCTATCGTTCTCATTTTATGTTAATTTTTTCTCTTCATTTGTTATGCTCTAGACTCTAAGACGTAATTTTATCGAAATATGGTTTCAGAGCCTATTCAACATCACCCATTTTTTACCCAAATATCAAATTTTTTTTGAACAGGTTGGAGAAATATTGAATCGATCAAACTTTGCCCAATAAAAAATTTCCTCTATCTTCTTGTAGTAATATTTTCAAATGTTTGGGTGAAATGAATTCGAATAATATCCAAAAGTGACAACATATTGTTTTGTTCAATTTCAATTTTTCTATATAAAAAACTCCTTAAATCTTTATTAGCACATCGAACATTTGATGCATCAAAAGCTAAAGATGATTAACACCATAAAAGCTATCGCTAATCGTTAAGAGATCAAATCCGATACATTACATAATCTGAGTTGCATGGTTGCTCTCAAAATTGATCAGATAGATATTATTTTATCATCTGATGCAAGACATAGTCACATTATACCGAAATCTATGCAATTATGATTATTGCCATCAAAATATGAACTAATAATGCGAATTATCACTTTACTTGCAAATTATTTCGTTTCACACTGATTTAAACCAACATCAAGTAGAAAAAACATGTTTGAATATTCATTTTGAGATTTTCATTGTTTCTGATTGAATAAGACTGCTATTAATGCATGCGTACTAACAAAATATATTTTAAGGTATACTCGCATGTTCGATTTGAGGAATTAAAAATAAAATTTCAATTTTTTAGCAATTTACCAAAAATAATACGATTTTTATATTAGATGTCTTAAGGGTGCACACGAGAGGATCATGTAAACTTCAGAAATTAGAACCTTATTTTTAGGCATTATCTTGGCTACCTATTTAGGCTCGAAAAGCAAAAAATATCAAAAAATACAACTTGACTCCATTATGACCCTTTCATGGAGGTAGTTTTTATCCGCTAGTATTTTCCCTTTGAATCTCTTTACAATTCGAAATCAAATTCAAAACTCAGTAGAAGAAAGGAAGAATCGACTTACTACGGTTGTAATACGAATAAATACATATATTTAATTATTTTTATTTACATAATAATTGTTTGAAGCTCATATTCCAACAAATTTTTAAATAAAAACATTAAAATGTTGAAAATGTTCATATATTTTAATAGGGTTTTGGCACTTTATTGAGGAATTACTACATACATAGTCGAACTGAACTTGATATTTTGAAATTTAAATTATTTATCAAAATTAAAATTTAACTTGAAATTTATAATTATTTAGTCATATTTTGCATAATTCTAAGTAGATTTTGTAAAAAATCAAGAAAGAAAAATTTTAACGTGCTTTATTTTTTCTTTTTTATAATAATACATATTATTATATAATTAACATATTCATAATGTTTCACCCTTTCAAAAATATAATCCTCCTCCTCTCAAATAAACGTACATACGGGTGGCCTCTTTTTTCAAAAAATTAAAATTTGAAATTTTGGGCTCAAATATTAGAGATTTTTTCAACCTTCAACGATATATGTTGTCTATATCAGACCTCCTTTCTTTTTGATACTTAACATTGTTCCTAAATCTTAGCCGTTAAGGCTGTTCTGAAAATATTTTTTTTTCGAAAAAATTCGAAAAAAATTCTTAAAATTCAAAAATCCCTTAATTCCTGAGGATTTTGGAAAAAAGTTTTTACATGAACATGTGTATATTATATGAAGTATATTGATAAGGTAAAAATCAAATTTTATTGCATATTCATCGAGAAAATAAACTAACGAATCCCTCAAAATTGAGAGGGTAATCCTCCTCCTCTCAAATAAACGTACATACGGGTGCACCCTTAATGCTTAGAGGGAAGACCAAAATTTTTGTTACGGGCGTGACTAAGACCAAAATTTCACCAAAAGTGACACTTTTTTAAGAAAAATCATTATCTGGGACTTCTATGTATACCACTCATCAGAGCATACTCCATACTATCATACTTTATCTTGATGATGAAGTCTGAAGATTATATAAAAATTGATTATTGATTATTATATAAATATTATGCAATTCTCCAATATGTTGTATAGATTAGTACACTTATTGCAAATCTATCTTGTATTAATGATTAAATTTATTCATTTAAGTATAATGTATTTCATTTCCACCAAAAATGCTTTTTTATTGTGTAATAGTATACAAATAGATAAACATTATATATTAAAACTCATTTATATTGTGCTAACGCTTTAAATGCTTATAAATTGTATTGAATATCAAAGTTATGGAATGAAATAGTCTATTAGTTAAATTAGAACGGGAAGAAATATATTTATAGTTAATCATTAGATATTCTAATGTAATTATTCCAAAATATCTCAATTCCAAAAAAAATAAATATTATTACCTAAAAAGTATTGTTTATTCAGCAAACAATGTTAAAATAAAATTATATTATAATTTTGGAAATAATAAGGATATACATCCAAATTTAATAATCTTGCCTTTTTATATCAACGTAATCAAAGTATGATCTATGCAATTTGTATTTTACCTTTGTATGTAAATTGAAAAAACGCATTTAAAATCGAATCTGTTCAATTTGAGTGATTTCTATGATATATTTATATGAATTCGAATTAAATGGAAATATAATTCGAAGTTGCTAGTACTTGAAATTACAATTGCCTATAGATTTATTGTTCTTTGTGTTAATAAATTATTGAATTTGAAAAATAAATCGATTATTGTATAATATCTTGTGTTATTGATGGTAAATCTCCATGTGTGTGGAATTTCCGATGAAATTATTAGTTTAATCGAATGATATTAGTTTCAAGGTTTGCGATTTTATATGATTTAAGGCTTCATTCAATGGATTACAATAAGGAACATTCACCTTATTCAAAATTCCGTTTGAAAATCTATTATGTGCATGTTTGTTAAAATGTGTGATGTTCATTATAACAAACAACACAATCTTATGGAAATTTTCCCCGATAATTATGTTATTTATAGTTTATATTTTCATATACTTTGTTATTTATGCTTAGTATCGTATCTAATACTGTGATATCACAAATTATGATAATTGAATAGAGGAATTCCCAATTTGATAGTGAAAATGCAATAATAGATTAATCAGGATTAAAATAAGACAGACAAAAATCTCCAAAAATATTTGAATTTTTAAGATTTAATATGAAATTTGAAAAAATTTACATCAAATTGAAGAAAATAAAAAAAATTGGAAAAATTACATCAGAGAATATACATTATTTTTAGTAATTCATATGGCAGTCCCAACGGGAACCGCGGTAATTTACCGAGGTTTCCGCACACCGGTTCCTTTTTTTAGGAATTTTTTAGATTAAAAAATATGCCTTGTCAATCATTTTTTGTAAATCGGCAAAAATTTGGAAATATTCTGACGACAATAAATCTGGGAATAGTATTTGAAATACGAGAACAACCTATTTAAAAGTGTTTCGCTCGATTTTGTATAATTTCAAATTTTCGCATATAGCTTTCCGTGAATTACCGTGATTTTACCGCTACATCAATAGTTTACGACACTTTTTCCGTAAATTGAGTAGTTTACTGCACTTTTTCCGTAAAATTGAGTTACGGGAATCCGTAAGATTACCGTACCTCACTTCTAGTTGAAAATAGCATTAGTATATAATAAATAGATATATTATTCATATTTTTGATTTTGAATTACGGAAAAAGTGAGTTCAGAACTTCCAATTATTATTTGATTAATTATGTTAAAAATACTATAAGGAATTAAAATACATAATGTTGAAATTTGAATTACGGAAAAAGTGAGGGTGAAAGTGAAGTGAAAAAGTAAGATATTTTTTGTTGAAATAATCATAGTTGTACAATTTTGAAACTATATGTAAAGCTATAAATTGAATAAATTCAAAAACAAAAATTGTTTATTCTTATTAATAAATTTATATTAATCAATATTTGAACAACCCGTAATTAAAATTGAATTCCTCTTAAAATTTAATACATACGTTAATTTTTAATTTGCTCGGCGAATGCCGAGCTTCCCTACTTCTCTTGTCATTCCTTCAAAAACTCTAATCTCATCGCACTTACAAACATCATAATTTGATGTATTGTCGAGAAATCTTAGACTTGTTTGTCATTTGATGATAGCATTTGAAAGTCATCTCGAAAATCGATTAACAAGACAATTTCCCAAACATCTACATACAAGTAGATGATGGTAAACCCATTAGAGTTGTTTTGCTATGATTCCTCCAATCTTATGATGAGAAAAATCATATCAAGACAGCTCTAATCGAACATTCTACACAGCTTAGCATCCAGGTAGTTCCAAGTAATGCGATTACAACATCAACGGCCAAAGCCTTTCAGAGTCCTTTAATCATTTCTTCTCATCTCAATGTGAAGTGGCCCCAAACGAACTACAAGCTGACGTTACAACGCATTACAACCCGGTTAATACGAACATATACATTAGAGCTGCTTTGTTATGATCTCCCTCATCAATTGATGAGAGATCTCATTATGAAGCAGCTCCAATCGAACTAAAAACCTACATACAAATGAGTGAAAACAAATTCATTAGAGTTGTTTTGCTTTGATTTCTCTCATCAGAAGATGAGAGATACCAGAACAAAACAACTCTAATCAAACTTTCTACACAACTCAGCACAGTATCAATGCAAAGTAATGCGTCTGTATCGTTAACAAGCAAAGTTGTTTCGGGTCCTTCCATTTTGGAAGAATTCGGAACAACTTTGCGAATTGATAGTGTAAACCCATATACATGAAAGCGTGCATGCATAAAGACAGGTATTGTCAGCAATGACTA